TTGTTTTGTTTTTTTTTTTGGTTTTTTTTTTTTTTTTTTTTTTTGGTTTTTTTTTTTATTCCCCAGCGGTTGGGTTTGGGGAAAACCCCTCGGGAATGCTTGTGTGGCACACTGGAAGGCGGCCGCGCTTTGCCCAAAAAGATGACCGCAAAGCGCAAGGTAACGTGTGAAATGCCACCAGCCTGGCCTGAAGCCATCACCCTGAACCAGCAGTCCTCCCCGTGTCCGTGCCGGGCAACAGGAGGCGGTTTTGGGGCTGGAGAGCTCYTTTCTCGCATTGTGTTCGGAGCCACGCAGGAGCAGGTGAGTCAGTGCCGTGAGACGCCACACCCGAGTTTCTGGGCAAGCTCTGCCCTTTTCCTGACCCAGCCGCCTTCCTCCCTCCAGCCGCTTCACGACGAGACAGTATTTTTTAAAAGCTACGGACAGTAAAATCCTGGAAGGAATTTCTCCACCTATTGCTTCTGCCTCTGCTAATTTTGCATGCTGCTGCAGACGGGAAAGGATTGTGGAAGGAACCAAGACGTGGAAAATCAGTGTTTGTCCAGAGCAGCAGTGTGCTCTGCAGGGCACATCCTGGTGTGCCGCACGCTCCTGCCCTGGTTGGCACAAGCAGCAGTGCTTCTCCCAGAGGACACCATTCCACTGTGGAAAAATCAATTTATTTATTTTTGCATCCTGCTTTCAGCACCTGCTCCTTCCAGTGCTCGAGTCTTGGTCCAACAAGTCACACTGAGGTCATCWGCACTGCTCTGCTTAAAGTTTAAAATCTCTACCGCACCGGGAGCTGGTCTGCTTTTCCTTTCATTTAAATGAATGCAAATCAGGAGCAGCTCAATTACAAACCACTTGGGGATTCTGACAGAAAACAAGTTTGTGAGGGGAACCACACCCAATTTGTCAAACATTCTTTGTTTCCCCCCCAGGTCTGGCATCTTCAGGGCTTTCCTTAGAGTGGTRTGGGTTAAAAGATGCTCCTGCTGAGCACTGCCCCAAGGTACAGGGAAATTTTGCTCCCGATTATTGGAGTGTGGAGGGCAACACCTTTGTTTGTTTCAAGGGGGCAGGAGCTACCTAAACCTGTTCACAGGCAAATACTGTGTGACTGAATCTGTCTGGACAGTGTCACCAGGACCCTGCTCCCCAATTGCCTCCATCCCAACCAATTTGAATTTTTCTACTCATTTCCCAACCCTGTTTTGAAGCCTAAATCTACTACTTGTCCTCCCACCACCCTTTTCATTAATTCATCAAACCCCTCTTGTTCACCATTTCCACCAAACTTCTCCGTTCTGATGTGACAGCCATGCCCAAGAGTCACTCCATCCTCCCTGCCCCAACTCCTCAGCTTCAGATCCCACTGTTGTGTTCTGTTGCTGTATTTCCAGTGGCACTAATTAAACAAGAGGTTATGGAGAGGGTCAAGATCCAAAAACCTATCTTTAAATGTCAGAAATGGCAGGACATGTGGCAGGATGCTTCTGTATCAAGGTGGGCAAAAAAGCTCCAAAGGATACCTCTTTTTTTTCCTGGAATGCTGGATGAGGCTAAAGACAACCTTGAAAAGAAGAGTCTGACAAAGAAAGCAAACTGGGAACTGCAAAGAGTCTCTTGTCTTCTTTGGGGAATCTTCAGATTGCGCTTGGAAACAGCATTGAGGCACTACACTGAAAACTGTCAGAAAGGTTTGAGGTCAGTGTAAGYAGGAAAAAGGCAGCTAAGCAGCTTCTTTCCACATCAAAAAATACCCCAGWCACAACCAGCTGTTCTTAAATGTGGCAGAAAATCCACTGTGATTCAAAATGCATTTATTTTTTGTCCCAGAATAAGTCAACACAGTTTCAATTTTAAGGAATYAATTAATTGTTAAAATGTTAAAAAGACAAAAAAATGTCTAAGCTAAATGTAATAATGTTCCTGATGGATGATCAGAGGATTCCTAGTTCTTCTTTCTTCCTGGCTTGCAAACTTCATTTCTTTAAGGGGAGAAACGAACTTTCTTTTCCTGAATGGAAAAAGGCAAAAAGGGAATGAGCACATTGCTGTACCAGAGTGAAACTAATCATGATTCCTTCCTTTTCTGCTTCACCATTTCTTTTCTTCTGAAATTTGGAGCACCTGCTCAGGGTGATTTACCTCTTTTTTGTATTTTTACAAAAGGCACAATACCCCATATCCACCCAGCAGCGGGCRAGCACCGAACTCCCACAGCACTTGGAGTTCAGCTGCATGTGGTGAAGAGCTGACCCTTGGAATCCAAACCTACAGGAGAGGGTTATTTTACTTCAGGGACTATTAAACATTTCAGAACTGGCTCTTATTCACAGCACAGAGYTTTAAATGCATGTTCTGTGAATTTATGAATTGAAGAATCATCGCTCCCAGGGCTTCTGGARGAGGAGGGAGGCACAGAGCAGCATTAACAGGTCAGGCACTGATCCAGTCCAATAGCCTGAGTCACTGGAACATCCTGAGCTGCTGAGCAGATTCACATTTCCTTTTCTTTCAGTGTTGTCATAAAGTGAGTCAGGTTCCTGCCTGGGCACCAGTGAGACTCACCCGCGTAGGTTTAAAAATTTTGTGATCAGAACAGAGCCATGGGATACCCTCARCAAGGCTCAGAGCTGTGTTCTACCCCAGGTGCACACAGAAGACTTCCCATTCTAAAAATCATCATCAAGAAGCCTGCAAGCTTTGTTTTTAAACAATGTGATTTGTACAAATCTGTCCACAAACCCCAAATTAGCAATATTTGATTTGCAGCGACCAACAGGTATTGCTGAAACAAGGGCTCAAGGGGAAAATCAGAGAGACAGGTTTGAAGTATGTTAACTGGTGGAAAACCGGGCAGAGTTTTCTCCTGAAAGTCCAGAGAATCTGCACTAAAGGATGGAACAGAAGAGACTTTTCTGCTGATAAGGTCCTTTATAAATATTCCTCCATGAGTAAAGTGCACCTGTTGTCAGAAACAGGAGTGGGACAACAGGGGAGCTCGTGCTGCAACTTTCTCCTCCTCAGCAGGGAGGACTACAAGGGCAATTTAATTTTTTTTACTGGCCCCAGAAAATACTACCCAAGAGCTGTGGGTGGGGTTTGTCAGAAAGCTGTAGGAAACAAAGCAACATCTCTGAGCCCACCACCCCACTCACCATAAAGGTGGAATCAGAGTTTGACACTCACTGTGGGGATGGCATCAGATCTGCTTATCTATGTGACAACATTTCTGCATTGCCTTCAGACAGCAGCCTTCAGAAAGGAGGAAATACCTCTGCTCRTGGCAGCAACTGATAAAACCAGAAAAAATACTGAGGTGACAAAAAATAGATGGGGGAGGGAATAAATTGCTKTTTCTTTCCTAAAAATAATAAATTGTAGCTTCCTTCCTTTCCTGTTTTGGGGGGTTTTGCTTCTTACCCCATTACAAATTTGAAAAAGCACTTTGGAGGACAGGAAATCAATGAAAACTTGACAAAAGTTGCTGCTTTTGGTATAAAAATGGATGGAAAGTATTGATRAAACCTCAGACCCAAAGCAGTCGCTGGATTCTGATTTGGCACCGATGAGAATTCTTTATTCTCTGTTGTGTCGGGCAAGTTAAGTCTGGACAAGTGGAGCTGGAGGTTATGGATCTGCTGTCCCTGAGTCCCTTTGGCAGTRCAGGGATAGCAAAGGGATGCAGAACAGCAGCATTCAGCTGAGTCAAGMAGGAATCAGGAAGAATTGAGGCTCCCTGTGTGTCATGCACTCAGGATGGTTCAGTGCATGGATAATGGCTAAGCCTCTCCCCTTTACACTTCTCATTCAACGTGGCCCCGTGCCACGTTCCGGGATCCCAGCCAAACTCTGCTCAAGTAAGGCCTGATTAATTTTTTTTTTTTTTTTTTTTTTTTTGTGGTGCTCATCACTAATCTGCTGGTGCTTTGTGGGCACTGTGGAGTATCTTCTGCATTTTACCTCGTCTTACCGGGGTCAGACAGTGAACTGGGGCACGGGGAGATTAAGGTCAAAATAGTCTGGGAAATCAGTGYTCAACTTGAGACATCCAGGATGCTTTAGCAGAGGAGTCCCAGTTCAGCAGAAGTTTGTGC